ATTCTTTTGTGGATGGATAGAAAATAGCACTAAAAAGATGTAATTGCTTAAACACAAAAACTCACATTTATTCATGTTGAGATAACTAAAATTTTAAAAATACACATTTCTTTGGTGTCAGAAATGTAAAAATAGGATCGTAAAGATTGGCAAATTTTGACAAAAACCCTAATTATTTCAATAAGTGTTATCTGCAGGGATAAAAGCTTTGTCGTAAACCCAGAAGAAGACAGGAGAAAATAACAAATCTGTCTCAGAGTATATTCTTACATAATGAACAAATTATTTTGTTGATTGCCAAATTATATGAATTGTTTGTAAAATATGTGAGAAACTAAATTTAGAATTATATTACATTTTGCAGAATGGCGTATATATTTAAATTATAATTTTTCCTGACAGATTTTCAATGTATCATAATGTCATCTTTTTATCTACCCATTAGACAAAATAGATAAATACACAAGTAATCAAATTCATGTTAGTTTATTTCCACGACCCAAGCCATTGTCTTCTGAGAAGGAAACATTATCTTATTTAAGCACTCATTAACTTGATTATTTCAAAACTGTAGGACCACGAGATTAGAAGAAACTTACCGTTGGAACTCCAACCATGTAGAGTAGCCACTTGGTCTGTTCTTTTCCATTTTCTATCTCATAAGGCCAGGAGATGACCACATCAACCTTTCTAACTCTTAAGGGTCCATTATTGTATAACTGGAATGAGAAAACAGTTTCAAAAGCTCATTCGTTGTCAATCCACAAAAGATAATATAAACTCACCATTAAACAACATGCTACAATTAAAAGTGTGAGGAAAACCTGATTTCTGTGTAAGGTCATTTTGACAATTTAATAGTGGTGACAAACAGTAACATGCAAAGAGCTAACTTTACTTAGCTCATAAGTTTAATGTGATAAATCTGAGTCATGGTTCAGAGTTTTGATAACTACAGTAGAAACACAGAGTGATTCATAACTCCTGATGTGATAAATACAGAAAGAACCTGCTTGGTGAAAATGAAGTCTTTTTCCTGATGCAGAAGTGTAAGACAATTAGAGACATTACAATATAAATCCCCTTAGTTTTATTAACTTAAAATTATTGATGACCCTGACTCTCAATGGATTATCTAGATATACCAATGACCCTGACTCCCACTGGTTTATATAAATATACCGATGACCCTGACTCCCACTGGTTTATATAAATATACTGATGACCCTGACTCCCACTGGTTTATATAAATATACAGATGCCCCTGACTCCCACTGGTTTATATTAATATACCAATGACCCTGACTCCCACTGGTTTATATAAATATACCGATGACCCTGACTCCCACTAATGCATATTAATATAGCAATGACCCTGACTCCCACTGGTTTATGTAAATATACTGATGAACCTGACTCGCACTGGTTTATCTTGATATACTGATAACCCTGACTCCCACTAGTGTATGTAAATATACTGATAACCCTGACTCCCACTAGTGTATATAAATATACTGCTGACTCTGAATTACTCCCAGTAGCCTATTTCAGTGTAAATCATCTTTATTATTTATTATTTAGTGTTATATACATGTCTTGGTTAAAACTGTAAAATAAGCGACTGATATAAGGTTGAAATATTTTACTTCTCTTGCCGTGAAACTTTGATGTCAGAACTTACAAACTTAAACAGTAGTTTCAATATGACTCAACTGCCTTAGGTCAGTGGACATGGCAGCTGCGTAATGAAGGAAGAACAAGTGAACCCCTTGGATATTGAGGTCAGTATCTTATTTACTAGTAGCATGTTGACGATCTACTCTTAACACATTGTGTAAGCATGCTTATTAATGTTTGTGAAGTACTTAAAGAACATGAAATGATGGGAAAACATATCACTGAAAAAGGAAAGAAATCCAAATGCTAAATCTAACTACAAAGTTAAATAGTCACTTTTTTTTATAAAAGAGTGGCAAACACTATGCTGTTTTCTGGATAACATTCTCCTATCATCATTGTAGCTGGACTTGTAGGGCTTACCTTGCTAGAAACTTCTATAATAATACCATGGTGCCTGTTGGATCAAGTATATATATATATATCATATTTCAAGCTCTATCACGGAGCTCATTGGATCAAATGTATATCATATTTCAAGCTCTATCACAGAACTCACTGGATCAAATGTATATCATATTTCAAGCTCTATCACGGAGCTCATTGGATCAAATGTATATCATATTTGAAGCTCTATCACGGAGCTCATTGGATCAAATGTATATCATATTTCAAGCTCTATCACGGAGCTCATTGGATCAAATGTATATCATATTTCAAGCTCTATCACAGAACTCACTGGATCAAATGTATATCATATTTCAAGCTCTATCACGGAGCTCATTGGATCAAATGTATATCATATTTCAAGCTCTATCACGGAGGATCAAATGTATATCATATTTCAGCTCTATCACGGAGCTCATTGGATCAAAAGTTGTGTTAATTCAACAAACAGTTACTTCATGTTGGCAAAATAAGTTGTGTTAATTCAAGAAATTTACGTTTTACTCATTCTGCCTGAACTTTAACATTTTTATTGTACTTCAGCTCAATTCATCTTGAGTCAAATCAAATATTTCATTTTTCCAAAATCGTTTAACATCCATTTACAGAAACATAACATTTAACAAATATAATTCCATCTTAGTTAACTGAAGGTTTATATTTTTCTATAATAATTTACTGTGATTCATCTCAAGGTTTTCATTTTGTTGATCTAACTTAAGAAAATTCAACTGTTGTTTTATGATAGTTTAGCTAATTGAACTTAAGTTCTAAATTATGTTAAGACGTTTAATTTCTACGATACAGTAGCTCAGTTGGACATTTTCCTAAAGCAGCTCAGTCTGAGTAAACTCAGATTTTAGATTTTCTTCTGGCGTTATAATTTCTTATTCATGTACTTCAATATTTTAAATTTTTTACTTTGTTAACAACTAAAATTGTTACTTTTTCTGTAATAGTTCAATCTGCTTTTTTCTTATTTTCATTAGAGTAAACTGAAGTTTTACGTATTCTGTGAGAATTTGATTTGAATCAATTATAGTTTTTCATTTAACTACTACACTATAGTCTGATCGTATGTTTTATTAAAATGATCCCGGGTCGTTATAATTTTTGTATTTTCATAAAATAAATCGCCCAAATCAAATATTCGTATAATTTACTACAGTAGTTTAGTCTTATTGTAATAACATGAAACTCATTACTTCAGTGTCTACATTTTAACGGAAAACTTTGTATCCTTCAAAATGTAAACTTGCTTTAATTGTATCTAACAGTATCCTGTAACTTAGGCCTGTTTATTTTTGTACTTTAATTGTATCTAACAGTATCCTGTAACTTAGGCTTGTTTATTTTTGTACTTTAATTGTATCTAACAGTATCCTGTAACTTAGGCCTGTTTATTTTTGTACTTTAATTGTATCTAACAGTATCCTTAACTTAGGCCTGTTTATTTTTGTACTTTAATCGTATCTAACAGTATCCTGTAACTTAGGCCTGTTTATTTTTGTACTTTGTATTAAAAAAATTACTCTTTTTTTTTTAGACTAATGATGAAGATGATATTACAAAAGATTTTGATCATCATTCAACTGAACGCCGTCGTCGTAAACGAGAGACCCAAATAGAACCAAAGAATGAACGAATAGATGGAAAATCAACAAAAGTTGCTTATTTGGTCTGTCTTTACTTCTTTTTTTTTCTAATTACATTTATTAGTAAACCTTGAACTGTTAAATTTATAAATCTAAAACTCCAGTTAATAATCAATCAAGTTTCAATTTTTGTCCTGTTCTTCCTTCAAAATTGATACTAACTTTAAAAGTTCAGTTAAAACTTTAAACCCACAGTTAGATAATTATATATTTTAGTTCTTATCATACATTTGATCACACCAACTCAGATTTAACTCCTCACAAGTCAGTGATACAGAGGACATAAACCTCTTTATTGCATACACAGGTATCCATGAAGAACTGTAAAGTTTCTGTGGTTTCATTTAAATTATTTTATGTTTAATCAAAAGTACAAAAATACATATGTTACGTCTCCATTCGTTAGTTAATTTTCTGTAACTTCGTTCCCATGAAACTTTAACGACACAAGTCCTTTCTTAATAAAACTGGTTTATTCTTTCTGAATATAACTTTACCGATACACTTATTTTCAACAGTCGCTCTATAACAAACGCTATAACAACGAACGTTAACTTCAACAATACTTTCTCACTGCAGTTCAATTACTCACTACCTACACACATTGTTTCCGTCACGTTGTGACCATCTTATATATACCAGACTACCCTATATCTAGTAATCTCCCGACAATTCCCGAAGGTTCGAGAGAAGGAGTGGTGTGATATAGTCACGTGACCTCACTGACGCAACACATAGAATGCCTTTAAGATGCTATTGTTGGTCTCGGAGTTGGTTGTCTTAATTAGTTTTATGTAAAACTTCTGTCATTGGAAAATGTTTTTATGTCTCGTAAAAATGCATTAGTTGTTTTTCTGATGTTGGCTTCTTATGAGATGCACAGACAGGTAATTAATAGATTATCAGATTTTATCCTATCTTGTAAGTTTTGTAATAATATGGCAAGGATTATTTTATGAAGGGAAATTCACATTAGAGTTTATTAAATATTACACTCAAAGCTCAGCCACAAACATTTCAAACTTTACATTGAGATATGTTATTCTTCCCTCCATTTGTTGTATAAAAATCACACTGTATTATTTAATCCTCAGGATTGTGAAGAAGGTACAGCAAAGTGTTTCACATTTGTCTGTGAGTTAAAGAATCTTGAGCCAAAGTCATCGTCCGTGATAAGGATTCGTTCTCGTCTATGGAACAGCTCTTTAGTGGAGGTAACTTCGAAGTAATCAAAAATGATCTGACAACTTGTCCCTTTAATTGTGTGTGAAAATGTAATATAATTAAAATAAAATATAATTTCAAAGCATTTTAGACAAGACACATAATGTTATAAAAGATGCAAAGAACAGGTACATTTAGTTAACCATGAATACAGTATTTTAAACTTTGATCCTATATTAAAAGAATGTTCCAATGTAAGCA